TCCTCTCGCCGGCGGCGGCGCCCGGCCTGCTTCCGCTTCCCGCCGCGGCGCGCGCCGAGCTCCCCGTCGAGTCGGTGATCATGGCAGCCACGGCCACGATGGCGACCTCGGGGTCGGCGCGGAAGCGGCTGCTCAAGGAGGAGGACATGACCAAGGTGGAGTTCGAGACGAGCGAGGAGGTGGACGTGACGCCCACCTTCGACACCATGGGCCTGCGGGAGGACCTGCTGCGCGGCATCTACGCCTACGGTAGGGGCGCGGGCCGGGGCCGGGGGGAGGCCGGGGCCGGGGCGGGCCGGGGCCGGGCGCCGGGAGGGAGACCGCCGGGGCTCCAGGGACAAGAGTCCGGTGCGGTGGCCGCCTGTCGCGCACCCAGCTGGGTCTAGCGACCTCGAAGTCCCCGGCGACCCTTCGCACGCCTTGGTCGGTAGAGAACTGCTTGGTGCCCAGGCCCCCGAGGCGCCGGGCTAGCGGGGAGCCCGAGAGGCCGAGAATTCAGGACGAGGTTGCTTCCGGCGGTGGCAGATGCCGCGAGACACCGGAGCGGGGCGGCTGTGGGAGGAGAGCAGCGGAGCCGTCAGATAGCGGGTGGGGGCTGTCCCGGAGCCGAGGCGGAGGCGCCTGGAGGAGCCCCCGTCGCCGGAGCCCAGGGGCCAGTTTGCAGGAGTAGTGATGGAGAATTTGAAAGGCATTTCTAATTCTGTGTGTGTGTCCGTCCATCCATCCACCCATCCATGTATGTGTGTCCACACACCAGCACTAGATCTTGAACTCGAGACCTGGAAGCTGTTCCTTAACTTTTTTTTTTGCTCAAGGGGGATGCTCTACCACTTGAACCACACTTGCACGTTCAGCTTTTTGGTGGTTCATTAGAGACAAGAGTTACATGATCTAACCTTGAACCACGATCCTCAGATCTCAGCCTCCTGAGTAGCTAGAGTTCAGAAATCCATTTCTAAATGCATTAGCGAACCATGGGAGGGTCTTAGTCAAAGATGGCATGATTGAATTTGCAGCTTCGGAGTTTTAGTGTCTGAATCTGGGCTGAGGCTGCAGTGAGGTGAGTTGAGAGGTTCCTGCTCCAGCCCAGGAGAGAGAGGGTGTTTCTGTAGTTGTCCAGAGCCGTAGAGCTCACAGATTGGCTGGTGCCAGAGATAGAAGGATTCCAGGGGTTTTGAGTGACTTGGTGGGCAGATGCAAACATCTGGCAGAGATGGAGGGAGCTTCTGCCCTGATCTGTGTAAGAGGCTGTTTAGCTTTAGTTTCAGGGTGATCTGAGAGCTTCCATGAGGGGGTGTTGTGGAGTCTGTTAGTGTCAAAAGTGGGACTCCAGGTAAGATGGTAGGTAGGGACAGATAGATGGGAATGTGGACACTTGAGGGTGTGGACTGCTCTTTACCGGCAGTCCTTAGTTTAACACTTCAGACAGTGAGGAGAGGCTGCCGGGGGAGGGAGGTGAAAGGGCCTTACCACCAGTCCCTGCTGCTTGCTTAGCCTTCCCACATCCCAACAGTGTTAACTTCCCAGCCACATAACTTCATGGGTTTAAGTCATCTGTTACATCTGCTTTTGGTGTATTAAATGGTACAAAGTAATTAAGTTGCAGCTTTTGTAAGGTTGTGTTTGCTTGGAAAAGTTCTTCAAAATAGGTTCATTAAAGGTAACTGCCAGGCAGGAGAGATAATGTTGTAGCTCCTTAGTTTAAAAAGTCAATGAGAGCCTGGTGCTGGTGGCTCCCGCCTGTAAGCCTAGCTACTCAGGAGGCTGAGAGGATCATCGTGTTATTCTCTCCAATAAACTAATAAAAAAAAAAAAGCTAGAAGTGGCGCTTTGGCTCAAGTGGTATAGTGCTTGCTTTGAGCAAAAAAAGCTCAGGGACAGTGCCCAAAACCAGAGTTCAAGCCCCATGACAGGCAAAGAAAAAAAAAAGAAGAAAAAAAAGAGGCCTTTTGTAATACAGGTAGAGGAATTGTGGAGTAAAAATTGAAGTAGCTGGGTGCTGGTGGCTCACGCCTGTAATCATAGTACTCAGGAGGCTGAGATCTGAGGATTGTGGTTCAAAGCCAGCCCCAGCAGGAAAGTCAGTGAGACTCTTCATTTCCAATAAACCACCAGAAAACCAGAAGTGGCGCTGTGGCTCAAGTGGTAGAGCTCTGGCCCTCAGCTGAGAAAGAGTGCCCAAGCCCAGAGTTTAAGCCCCATGACTGACAAAAAAAAAAAAAAAAAGTTGAAGTCCCCTTCCACTCTCCAGGAAATACCACCACCACCATCTTGTTTAAACTGTGGTCTCTGTCTTCTGAGTTCGATGCTGTTTCTTTCTTTCTTTTTTTTTTTTTGGGGTCTGGTTGTGGGGCTTGAACTCTGGGTCTGGGCGCTGTCCCTCAGCTCTTCAGCTCAAGGCTAGCGCTCTACCACTTGAGCCACAGTGCCACTTCTGGCTTTTTTTTTCTTTTTGCTTATGTGGTGCTGAGGAATCGAACCCAGGGCCTCAGGCATGCAAGGCACACACTCTACCACTGAGCCATCTTCCCAGCCTCAATGCTGTTTCTTTCAGAGATGTTGTCATTTTCAGGTAGCATCCTACAACACTATGAAATCCATCCTGCCTATGTCTTAAATATTGGGTTAGGATGGGCGAAGGTTGGCAGAGGTTAAAAAGTGAATCCCGTATCTCTGAGGAGTTTACACCACCGATTTTAGTGCTGTTGTAGTGGAGAGAGCGCAGTTGTTCTTTTTTTTTTTTTTTTCTGTCAGTCCTGGGGCTTGAACTCTGAGGGCTGGGCACTGTCCCTGAGTTTCTTTTGCTCAAGGCTAGCACTCTATCACTTGAGCCACTTTCATCTTTTCCTGCTTACATGGTACTGAGGAATCGAACCCAGGGCTTCATGCATGCTAGACAAGCACTCTACCACTGAGCCACCTTCCCAGTCCGAGAGCTCAATTGTTCTTTACTTACAGGTTTTGAAAAACCCTCAGCAATCCAGCAGCGAGCTATCAAGCAGATAATTAAAGGGAGAGATGTCATTGCACAGTAAGTTGGTCTGTGGGGAGGGCAGACCCAGCCAGCGGCCCGCGGTGTAGTGAAATGACTTTCAGAACAAGTCTGTTCTGCAGTCTGCTTTCTCCTTCACTTTAGCCCTGTGGCATTATACTTTTTTTCTTCTGTTCTCAACAAGAGAAAGTTGTGGGGTTTTTTAGCTAGCTTTTCTCAGCTCTCAGTCTGGAATCTGCTATGCTATGGGCACTCTTATCACTTGAATCACACCCCCAGTCCTAAAAAAAAATGACTTTATGAGCAGCCATGGCTCTGTAATTCTAGTCAGGAGGTTGGATCTGAGGATTGCAGCTTCAAGACAGCCCAGGCAGGAACATCCCTGGGACCCTTATCCAGTCAGCAAAATGCTAAAGTGGTAGAGCCCCAGCTACGAGTGAAAAACCTGAGAATGAGTGTTCCTGAGTTCAAATCCTGGTATTGGAGCGTGTATGCGCGTGCGTGTGCACACACATACTCACACTCACACACTCGGAGGAAGCCGCTCTGGAGCTGGGCCCTTTGAAGACCCATGAGGAGCGAGGGCGGAAGAGAGGGAGGGCCACAGGGGTGAGGACAGGCCCCCCCGTTCCACTTGTCTGCTCTCTTGAACAGGTCTCAGTCTGGCACAGGCAAGACGGCCACCTTCAGCATCTCTGTCCTCCAGTGCTTGGACATTCAGGTGAGCACTGCCTTCAGAATCACTCTCCAGCCCCAGGAACCACTTGCTGTTTCTTCTGCATTACAGCGTTCAGGGAGAATCATTTGCATTCCATGTTTACACCAACTCAACATCTTAATTACATGCCTGATAACTACTCTGATAGCCTGTCTGAAATCCTTTGTTTAAGGATGTTGGGCTGGACATGTGGCTCAGTGGTAGAGTGCTGGCCTAGTTCACATGAAGCCCTGGGTTTGATAACTCAGTACCACGTACACAGAGAAAGCTGAAGTGGTACTGTGGCTCAAGGGCTAGAGTGCTAGCCTTGAACAAAAGAAGCTCAGGGACAGTGCCCAGGCCCTGAGTTCAAGTCCCAGGACTAGCAAAGATAAAATAACTAAACAAAATTAGGATTGTTTTGTGGTGGTTTTTTGGTGGGGGGGGAGGCTATGGTAGGAATCAAACCCAGATCTTCTGATGTTAGATATGCATTCTACCACTGAAGTGTATCTGCCCACATCCTTTTTCTTTTGTCTTTTATTTCTTGGTACTGAGGATCGAACCCAAGGCCTTGAACTTGCTAGGCATGTGCTTTGCCACTGAGCTGCATCCTAGCCAGGAGGAGAGGTTTTTTTTTTTTTTTTTTGGTTATATTTTCCCCACTACTTTGTCACTGTTTCTGTTTTTTTAAATTATTTTATTGTAGTTTTTTGTCAGTTGTGGATTTGAGCACTTCAGCTAAGGTGACCCTACCACTGAGCCACAGCGCCACTTCCGAGGACAGGTTTTTAAACTAGAGAATATTTAAAGTAGATCTGAGACTGGATTATTACAAGCCACATTTAAAAATACTGAGACTAGCTGGACGTGAGTAGTTCATGCCTATAATCCTAGCTACTTAGGAGGCTTAGTTCTGAAAGATCACAGTTTGATCACAGACCAGGCAGAAGGGTTTACTGAACTCCAGCTCTAGAATAAGAAGCAAAAAGCAAGGCCGGAGGTGTGGCTCGAGTGCTGGAGTGCTAGGGGAGCAAGCAAGCCAAGAGCTCAGAACTCTTGAGTTCAAACCCCAGTTCCAGCAAAAGAAAACAAACCACTGCTGTGACAGGAGATCACTGTGTTAAGCTAAATAAACTGCTGTGACAGGAGATCACTGTGTTAAGCTAACTAAGCCAGAGTCAGAAAAGCACATTGTATGTATTCTTCTCATGGGAGAAACCTAAATTTAAAAAAAACAAAAAATTGTAAGAGTAGAATGGGGATTGTTTTGAGGAGAGGAAAGAGATTCAAGACAAGAGAGGGTAGCAGGCAGTGTGGTCAGAGGGCGTTGCGTTGTATGCCAGGATGAAAACGTCACAGCGAAACACTTGGTTTTCTACAGTTAACGTACGTTCTTCTGAAAGCCTTAAAAAAATGTTGAGGATTGTCTTTTCCAATTGTTTCCCAGGTTCGAGAAACCCAAGCTTTGATCTTGGCCCCAACAAGAGAGCTGGCTGTGCAGATTCAGAAGGTGAGCTGTGTTTGTGGGTTGTGAAGTTTCTGCCAGTTCCTAGCTTTTTGTTTCTTCATTGTGGTTCTGGGAATTGAGTCTGTTTTGCATTAATCATTCTGTGCTTAGTGAACTTCTGGTTTGTATTGCCATTTTTATTGTAGTTTATGGGCTTTCTAGAGAGAGTGAGCGAGAGCGAGTGTGTGTGGTCTTCAGTCCATTTAAACAAAACTATAACTTCACACTCATAACTTGGAAAGAATATGTTAGGATGCTAATATACCATGAGGTCAGTAGGGTTAGGATTTTGTGTGGGAAAGGTGGGAGTGGCATCTGGGGCCTGGGTGCAGAACTGAGCTTTTGGCTCAAAGCTGGCGCTCTGTTACATGAGCCACAGCTCCACTTTTGGCTTTTTTGGGTAGTTAATTGGAGATGAGTCTCTTCTGCCTGGGCTGATCTCAGCCTCTTGAGTAGCTTTGGATTACAGGCGTGAGCTGCTAGCCTCAGGCATGAAGTGTATTTTTTCTGAAATGGGTGTGTGTTGCTTTTGTAATGACGTCTCAATCAACTTGATGTGGAGGAGGGAAGTCGCACTGTGGCTTGAGGTGTCAGGGAGCGCTCTGGGGTGGGCTGGGCTTCCTGCAGGGCCTGCTTGCTCTTGGGGACTACATGAACGTGCAGTGCCACGCCTGCATCGGGGGCACCAACGTTGGCGAGGACATCCGGAAGCTGGACTACGGGCAGCACGTGGTCGCGGGCACGCCGGGCCGAGTCTTTGGTGAGTGACGCTGCGCGGCGGGCCCTGTGAAGCGAGCCGTTCTCAGTGTGGTGAGGCGCGGAGGCCGCCGCCGCCGCTGCCGCTGCCGGGCCATAGGCAGTGGTTCAGGGACCAGTTGGGGTGGCAGCTCTCCTCTCGGAGCCCCACGTGTGGTTCTTCAGAATCTCAAATTTACAGACATGATTCGTCGCAGAAGTTTAAGGACCCGAGCTATCAAGATGTTGGTGTTGGATGAGGCTGACGAGATGCTGAATAAAGGTATGGGAACAGTATTTACTGGCGTGCTTAGCTAGTCAGAGTGTTGCGAGGGCCAGTAGGTTTTCTTCGCCTTAGGGGTAGTGATGGACATAAAGTTCCCACCTTGACTCTTCGGTGGGAGCTGAGAGCTCTAATCCACCCGAATGGCCGCCTTGCGCCTGGGTGCTCCTGCACGAGGCCCCGTGGCGTCGGGAGAGCCTGACTGCCGCATGGAGCTGAGCGGAACGGAGGGAATGCCTGGCGCGGAAGGGGGTGGGTGGGACTCGGGTCATCAGTGCCTTCCTTCTGAACTGTGAGTACACACTCGCTGCATGAAATATCTGTGAAGTGGAGGTAACTGGATATACAATGCTGGCCGCGGCTGAATAGAACAGTGAATAGAATTCCGCTTTGGGGGTGGGAAGCACAGGCTGAGCGTGAGCAGTGGCGGCCAGTGCGGTGAGGCTGCCCTCCTGTGACGGCCCCTCGCCTGTCTTGTTCTCCAGGATTCAAAGAGCAGATTTATGACGTGTATAGGTACCTGCCTCCCGCCACGCAGGTGGTTCTCATCAGTGCCACCCTGCCCCATGAGATCCTGGAGATGACCAACAAGTTCATGACAGACCCCATCCGCATCCTGGTGAAACGGTAGGCGCGAGCCCTGCCGCCGCCATTCCCTGTCAAGGCGTGAGCGTGAGGACTTCATGGTCCACACCTAAGGGGGTCCAGGAAGAGGTGCAGAGGGTGTGGCTGGGCAGACGGGGCCTTGTCCACGCACACCTCCCCAGAGCCCAGCCTCTGTCTCCCTCCCAGTCCTGCCTGGAAGATGACAGGTGACATTTTGTCTTGGTGCCAGTGATGAGTTGACCCTGGAAGGCATCAAGCAGTTTTTTGTGGCCGTGGAAAGAGAGGAGTGGAAGTTCGACACCCTGTGTGACCTCTACGACACGCTGACCATCACCCAGGCCGTCATCTTCTGCAACACCAAGCGGAAGGTTTGCGCCCCACGGCCCCAGCCCCCGAGAAGGCACGCCAGGCCTTGGTGACAGGGACTGAGCTGTTGTGTGGAGTCGGTTGCACCTATTCCAGCTTTGGAAGTTTATGGTTTCTGTGCAGAAGCAGCTGTGTGCCGCCTGGCTGTAGAACAGTAGTTTCATTTGCAAAAGCAGCAGATGCCACGTCCAGCATGGTGGCCCAGCCCTGTGGTTCTAGCAGCTGGGGAGGCTGAGGTGGGAGGATCACTTGAGCCCAGGGTTCCAGACTAACCTGGGCAGCATACACACCCCATCTTTAAAAAAATAAAAAATAGGAGCTGGGTGCTGATGCACACTTGTCATGCTAGCTACTCAAGAGGCTGAGAGCTAAGGATCGTGGTTCAAAGCCAACCTGGGAAGGAAAGTACATGAGACTCTGATCTCCAGTAAACCACCAGAAAACTGGAAGTGGAACTGGGGCTCCAGTGGTAGAGCGCTTGCCTTAAGCTGAAGAGCTGAGGGACAGCGCCCAGGCCCAGAGTTCAAGCCCCATGGCCAGCAAAAAATAAAAACAGGTGCTGGTGCCAGTCCCAGGCCTGAAGTTGCGTATCGTTTGCCGATGGGGGACAGCCCTACTGTAGGTTGGAGCTCCCTGGTGGTGCCAGCCTGTGGGCAGAGCTGGGAGCCCTTGTCAGCCTTCCTGAAAAAAGGAGAGGCACTTCCTACAGGACACGAATTCAAGTTTCAAATGAGCAGACAGGCGTCAGCATGTGTTTGCAGGCAGGAGTGCATTTCTGCATGTTGGTTGAGGAGTCTGCGTTCAGCACGCGGTGGTCGCCCTGCAGATGGAGGAAGTGGGGTCCCGGGGCACGGGTGGCTTCATGAGCTCCAGTAGCACTTGCTGATTTGGTTCTAGGTTGACTGGCTGACGGAGAAGATGCGAGAAGCCAACTTCACGGTGTCTTCCATGCATGGGGACATGCCCCAGAAGGAGCGGGAGTCCATCATGAAGGAGTTCCGGTCCGGGGCCAGGTGGGTGGCAGCTGACTCGTGCCGTGCTGGTTGGGGTCCCTGCCCATCGGGGTCTGCCTGCTGCGTTGAGCTCTTCCTGTGACTGGCTGTGCTGGGGGTGCTGTCGCACAGTCCAGCCAGTGAGGGAGCCGCCGTGCGCACGCCTGGGGAGTGAGCCCCAGAGAGACCCGACTCAACTAGTGGGTTGCTTGCTTTGTTTAGAATGCTGCTGTTTTGTTTCCAGGGAGGTGAATGCTTTCTGATCCTTTTGTAATTGAGTTTGCAGGAGTCCTTAGTGGCAGAGAGGGTGACTGTTCCTTTTTTATTTTTTTTGGTCAGTTGTGGGCGCTGAACTCTGGGCCTGGGCGCTGTCCCTCAGCTCTTCAGCTCAAGGCTAGTGCCACAGCGCCACTTGCAGTTTTTTCTGTTTATGTGGTGCTGAGGAATCGAACCCAGGGCCTCATGCATGCGAGGCAAGCGCTCTACCACTGAGCCAGCCCTAGGTGGCTGTACTTTAGATGTGTTCGCGTTTGTGTGTCCTTCAGCGGATCAGGCTGCCAGCCTTCAGCTGCTGCTTGTCCCTGTGTTCTGCTTACACTAAGCAGTCCCCGTGCTGTGGCACTCTGCCCTTCTGTCTGCACATCTGCCAGATTTCCTCTGCACCACTTGTGGTTCCATAATTGTTGGAAACAATCTGTAGTTGTTTCTTTTTTTTCTTGTCGTGGAGCTTGAATTCTGGGCGGGGCCTGGGCGCTGTCCCTCAGCTCTTCAGCTCTACCACTTGGGCTACAGCGCCACTTCCGGTTTTCTGGAGGTTCATTGGAGATAGGAGTCTCACAGTCTTTCCTGCCCGGGCTGGCTTTGAACTGCGATCCTCAGATCTCAGCCTCCTGAGTAGCTAGGATGACAGGCGTGAGCCACCAGCGCCCGGCCCTCCCCCCATCTTGAGCCGCTCTCCTATCTGCCTCTAGGCCCACGTTTCTAAGTGAAAATAGGTAAAAAAAGAAGCAGTTTCTTTTATGTGGTGGCAATGGGGTTTGAACTCAGGTCCTTGGCTGGCCAGGAAGATGTTCTCCCTTGCGCCACACTGCTGCCCTTTTACCTTAGCTGCTTTTAGACAGGTTCTCTCATTTTTGCTCCACTGGATGTGAACCACAATCTTCCTCTCTGTCTCCCCATGAGCCTGGGATGGTAGCTCACGTCACCTACTTCATTGGTTGAGATGGGGCTCCTGAAGAGGTTTAGCCTGGGCTGGCTTGTAACCGGACCCTACATCTCCCTCCCAAGTAGCTAGGCTTGCAGGTGTGAACCACCACAGCTGGCATCTGTTCTCAACCCCAACACACCTGAGCTTTGTTAGCTCAATAAATGTAGTGTTAAAAATTGAGATTTTTTTTTTTGCTTCCTTTTTTGTGTGTGGTTTTCAAACTCAGGTATGTGTCGCACGCACGCACACATCTCGATTGTGACGAGCACGTGCCAGGTACTCTGTGGTGCTTCTCTTGTCCTTGAGAGGACGGGGTAGAGCTGCTGAGCCACACCTACCCCGTTTCTGGTTTTGGCAGAAGTTTTGCTAGGCAATTATTGGTATGTGACTAATAGTGAGTAGACAGGCACACGCGTCTGTGTTGATAGCCGTGGGTGTGTGTGTGTGTGTGATCACTTTGTGGCAGCTGATCAGCAGTGGGGGCAGCTCCAGTCTCACCATCCTGGCTTTCTCTCCACAGCCGAGTGCTCATTTCCACAGACGTCTGGGCCCGGGGCCTGGATGTCCCTCAGGTGTCGCTCATCATTAACTACGACCTGCCCAACAACAGAGAGCTGTACATACACAGGTAGGAGCCCGTCCTTGCCCAGGTGACGCACCTGCCGGTGGCTCCCGAGAGGTCACTGACGTGGCTTTGTTTCCCTCCTGCAGAATCGGGCGCTCTGGGCGGTACGGCCGGAAGGGTGTGGCCATCAACTTCGTGAAGAACGATGACATCCGCATCCTGCGGGACATCGAGCAGTACTACTCCACACAGATCGACGAGATGCCCATGAACGGTGAGCGGGGGCTCGGCCCAGGTTGGCTTCTGCTGGGGGCTTTTCCTCTGTGGAGCGCCCTCCTTACCCGTCCCCATGCCCTCTCCTCGCAGTTGCTGACCTGATCTGAGCTGAGGACCGCCCGCGCCGCTCTCCGGCTTCCTGTGTGGATTGTCAGGGCAGTGTCTGTGAGAGGTTGTGCAAGCTCTCAGCCCCCAAAGACAGCCTTGGGGATTCACTGTCCTTTCTTAACGTGTAAATAGTGCATTGCTCCGTTTTTTCATTAAACATTGAATTTTTTTTCCCATAAGTGTGAATTTGTACTTCTCAGAATTGGCAGCTTTCTTGGTGACACTGCTCTTGGGCAGGTATTTTAACTCCACGTTCTCTGCAGAACCTACTTGAAAATAGATGAGCTAGAATTTCCAAATTCTCAATAGAAATTACAAAAAAATCAGTAACTTCCTCTTAGAAGACTTGTTTTTGCTGGATCTGAGGCTGAATTTAGTGTTCTCCTTTGGCTTTCTTTCTCAGTTGGTGTTCTGCCACTTGAGCCACATCTCCAGTGTGTCATTTTGATGGTTAATTGCAGATGGGAGTCTTCCAGACTTTGCTTCCCAGGATGATTTTGAACTGTGATCTCCAGGTCTCTCTCTTTTGGCTCGTTAGAATTAGAGGCATGAGCCACCTGCAGCCAGCTAAAGACTTCTTTAAAAGATAATTTCCAGGGGGCTTGGAAGGTGGCTCAGTGGTAGAGTGCATGCCTTGCATGCTCGAGGCCCTGGGTTCGATTCCTCAGCACCACATAAGCAAAAAGAAAAAAGCCAGGAGTGGCACTGTGGCTCAAGTGATAGAGCGCTAGCCTTGAGCTGAAGAGCTGAGGGACAGCGCCCAGGCCCAGAGTTCAGGCCCCACGACTGGACCAAAAAAAAAAAGATAATTTCCAGGGCTGGGAAGGCGGCTCAGTGGTAGAGCGCTTGCCTTGCATGCATGAGGCCCTGGGTTTGATTCCCCAGCACCACATAAGAAAAAAGCTGGAAGTGGTGCTGTGGCTTGAGAGGTAGAGCACTAGCCTTGAGCTGAAGAGCTGAGGGACAGTGCGCAGGCCCAGAGTTCAGGCCCCAGGACCGGACCCCAAAAATAAATTTCCAGAAGGACTAAAGTTAAAGATCTTAAGACACTTCTGGAAGTGAAGCAGAGCATAAGTATGGATAAAGTGCTTGTGAAATGTACCCTACCAACGTCCAGGCTGTAAAGGACATTTGCGTGTGTGGCAGTACCAGGGCTTGAACTGAGGACAATTGGGCCAGCTCGTGACAGCGGCTTCTGGTAACACCAGATTCCTGGGCTGGGAAGGTGGCTCAGTGGTAGAGCGCTTGCCTTGCATGCCTGAGGCCCTGGGTTCGATTCCTCAGCACCACATAAGCAAAAAGAAAAAGGCCGGAAGTAGCGCTGTAGCTCAAGTGGTAGAGCGCTAGCCTTGAGCTGAAGAGATGAGAGACAGTGCCCAGGCCCAGAGTTCAGGCCCCACAACAACGCCCCACCCCCCCCAAAAAAAATTCCTTTCTTCAGGTCCACAGAGTCCTTGGGCCTGAAGTAGATGACTTCCCCTTTGTCACCTGGGGAAAGATGTCTGCTCGTGGCTGAGGTCTTGGGTGCTACCAGAGCTCCTCATCCTCACTACCCTGGCTGCGGAACTCCACCACACCCCCCCACCCCGGCCTGGCCCGGCCGGTCTCCAGCCAGCCACTTTAGAGTGGGCTTATGGAGAGGAGAGGTGTGACTCAGATGACAGGGAAGGGGAGCTGACAGGGTGGTGGAGGGTATGTGGGGGGTGAGGGAGACGGAGGGGAGGGGAGGGATGGGAGGGGACCTGAGGCAATGTGCGTGATAGCTTAATGCCCCAGAAACGTCTGGCTATGGCGGCCTTCCCACCCTGAACCCTAGCAGGCACTGGTTCCAAATGGCCCTTTCCTGCCCAGGCTGGCTTTGAACCCTGACCCTCAGGTCTTAGCCTCCAGAGTAGCTAGGATGACGGGCGTGAACCACCGACACCTGACATCTGGCGCTAAAGGCCCTTTTATTAAAAATAAGCACTTCACAGTAAGATTCCAGGTCCTGTACACACAGTGTCACCTCTGGCTGTTGTCAGGCAGGGGCTGTGAGCAGCGGACACTGCTGGCAGGTGACAGCAGGAGCTCTCCGGGAGCTTCAGACCAGGGTCAGCCCCAGGAGCTGTCCGTGGTGCGCTGTCATGCGCTGGCCTCCGCCCCGGGCGGCACCTCTGCCCCTGCACACCACCGTGCATCTGCTAGGCCCAGCTGATGCAAAACTGCTGTCCCATGGACAGTGAGACGGGGATAGCCAGGAGCTGGAGACAAGAAAGCGCCAGCAGTTCCTAGGACAGCCAGACCTCAGGCCCGGGAGGCCGGCGTCCCCCGGGTGCCCCACACCACCCCGGCCACCCCCACTGGCACCTTGTAGAGACAAGAAGCCACCAGCACAGATCCCTCCACACGGCACAGGACACAGGCCCACCCGTCCCAGGCCTTCACCCCCACATGGGACCCAGACCCTGATCTCTTGCCTGGCTGCTGGGGTTGTAGGTGAAGTTGGAGACGGGGATGCCGTCGGAGAGGACCTGCTGGGGGGCTGCGGACACCCCCAGCACCACCACCCTGCTCAGCTGCAAGTCTGCGCCTTCCCTGCTCACGTGCACCGGCCGGCTCACGACCGTGTTCTGCCATGCACAGGAGAGCGGTCGGTAAACAGCAGGGGTGGGAGCCCCCCACAGGGGCCGAGCACCACACAGCGGGGTGCCCTGACACCCACCCGGCGTTCCCCTCACCTGATCAGGGCAGGCCCACCCTGCCCGCCTGGCCTGAGGACTGGCACTCACATTCTTGGCAGAGAAGGTGACCTCCGTGTAGGCCCCTGCCTCCAGCACCCCCAGGCTCTCCCCATCGTCCCAGAACAGCTCCCCACGGGCCTCGCCGCCAGCTGCCAGGGCCACAGCCAGGGCCATGGGCTGCTTGCGGGACTCAGTGGTTGTGAGGGCGGTGCCCTGCAGAGGGTGTGCACGTGTCAGGCCCAGCTCAATGGAGACACGGCTGGAACAGCTCTGACCCCTCTTCCTCCAGGAAGGGCGGCTGCGGACAGCCATGGCCCAACGCGTGTTCGTCTTGGGACCTCCCTGACCAAGACCAACTGGACGGCCCCAAGCCTGTCCCTGCTGATACCACCCGTGTCCTCGGGGGCTGGGCCGGGACACGTGCGGCATGTTGCCAGCCAGCTGGGATCCTTGCTCCCCCCTCACTGGCTCTGATCCCCTTCCCACAGTGGTCCCCAGAAAGCTGTCCCCAGGCCCTGCAGCGCCTGCCCAGCTACCTGTAAAGGCACGATGTACCCCGCCCGCAGGTGGACGTTGATGGTGTCCAGCGGGGCTGGCAGCGTCACCCACTGTCCCCGGCTGTGGATGGCAGTCCTGCCACGTGTTGACAGCGGAAGAGGGAGGCTGCCGAAGGTGTCTATTGGCACCTGGAAGGAATCACGTGTCAAGGCTGGCGGCAGAGGCTCCCTGGTCACCTTTCTTCCAGGGCCCCTGTGGAGGCCCAGCAGACAGGCTGGAACAGCCTCGTGCACAGGCTCAGGGCTCGGGGTAGGGACCCACACACTTGGAATGCCTAGCTTGGCTTGGCCTCAGCGGAAGCTGGGGAACGCTCACCAGATGCCCGCTGAGGCGGAAGTTTTCTCATCTGGAAAACGGCGGCACTGGAGGACAGCTGCGCCTGAAGCCCAAGCCCACCACAGGGACAGGCAAGCCCACCACAGGGACAGGCAAGCCCAACACAGGGACAGGCAAGCCCAACACAGGGACAGGCAAGCCCAACACAGGGACAGGCAAGCC